ATCTTGCTGGCTACAAATGTTCTTGGTTTGTTGTATGAAACCAAGAATTTTCTCTCAAAAAACTTTGAAATGAAAGATTTGAGTGAGACATCATATGTGATCGAAATTGAAATATTTCGTGATAAATCACAAGGATTGTTAGGGCTGTCTCAAAAAGCATATATTCATAGAGTTCTTAAGAGATTCAATATGGAAGGGTGTTCTGCAAGTGTTGCTCTAATTCCAAAAGAACACAAATTCAGCCTTATGCAATGTCCAAAGAATGATTTGGAATGTAAGCAAATAGAAGAAATTCTTTATGCATCTATAGTTGGAAGCTTAATGTATGCTCAAACTTGTACTAGACCAAACATTAGATTTGTTGTCGGGATGTTGGGTAGGTATCAAAGTAATCAAGGAATAGATTATTAGAAAGCTTCACAGAAAGTTTTAAGGTACCTGCAAGGAACAAAGGGTCACATGCTCACTTATAGAAGATCAAATGATCTTGAAGTGATAGAATATTCAGATTCAGATTTTGTTGGATGTGTTGATACTAGAAAATTAACATTTGATTCTCAGTTCCTTTTGACTGAAAAAAAAAAAGAAATCTCATGGAAAAGTGCAAAGCATACTATCACTGTTGCATCCACTATGGAAGTTGAATTTGTAGCATGCTTCGAAGCTACAGTTTAGGACTAATGGCTACAGAGTTTTATTTCAGGATTTGGAATTGTCGACAATATTGTCAAGCTACTGAAAATTTACTGTGATAACTCCACAACAGTCTTCTTTTCTAATAACGTCAGACATTCCAAATATGCTAAACACATGTAATTAAAATATATTGTCATTAAGAAAGAAGTTCAGAAACATAGGGCATTAATTGAGCATATTAGTACAAGTCCTATGATTGCGGATCAATTTATGAAAGGGTTTCCACTGAAGACATTTAACGAACATGTCGTGAGAATGGACATTACTAAAACCTTTTATTAGTGTATGTTTAATGCTCCTTATGTTTGACACTTTAAGCTCGGTTTATTGTTGTTTATGATATTTACATATCTTTTTTCTTTATCGGTAGTGTACACCTTACGTTGTATTTTATTTAACAAGATTTATCTTTTAATAGACATTATGGGACTATAATGCTATTCCTCATTATGTTAAGTTTATAATTGATATTATGATACATGAAAGAGATTGTGTCAGTAAATTGATACACAACTGTCATGATTCATATTAATTTTATACTTATTGATGATTTATGATTTTAAGAATGATTTTAGCTTACAATTGTGAAATATGTTATCTATTATTAAGGGCCCATTTGGGGCAGCTTATTTGGTGCGGTGGAGTTTTGAAAACGCCGCCGTGAGTTTGGAAATCTTGTTTCAGTGGAGTTTCGTAAAATGCGATTTCTATTTTACTATTAGAAGTGGATCGCGGGTAGGACCCCACAATCCGCGTTTCATAATGTCGAAAGATGTCAGTTGCCTCTAATTCGACAGGAGAAGTTCTTGGTTTGCTGGAGGGGCAGGTATCAGAGAGAAAATGGTGGCTTGGAGGGTGCGAGACCTGTGAAGGAGAAGAAGAGAAAGAGAGGAGTGGCGTGCAGAGAGGAATTGCAGCACGACTAGGGCTCGTGTGGAACGGTGAGCAAGTAGTGGCTGTGGACTTTAGCTCAAACAGGAAACCTTAAAGTTTTTTTTTCCTCTTGCGTAGGGGAAAATCAAGGCTCCTGCTGTTGATTCTGAACAGGGGAAGGCAGGCCAAGCTTTGGTGTTGGAGGCAAAGGGGTTTAGACAAAAAAAAAAAAAAAGGAACGGGCTTGTGGAAATTTTTGTGCAGGAATGGCGATGTAAAGGTATTGTTGCGTGCAAAACTAGGGAGGAAGATAGGAATGACAGAGGGGAGAAAAGGGTTAGCGTCAAGAGAGCACTGAGAGAAACGTAGGGATTTCTGTGCATTATTTGCTTCTGCATAGTAGACAAAGTGGGGAGGAGAACAAGGGAGAACATTTTTTTTCATTTGTTTCTTAGATCAGCTAAAATTTCACGTTGATTACTTATTTTCTGACCCTTTGTTAGTTTCTATTTATTATTTTCACGGTCAACAATAATTAGTTTGTGTTTGATGAAGGTTATAGGAAGAACTAATGAAAAATATACTAATTTCAGAAGAATCATTTGATGATTACTTTTAAAAACTAAATAATTTTCTCTTTAGAGTCATCCGCTTCTAATAAAGAAGATTGTAATACAAATTGCTCAATTTAGGTCCATACATTTATTCCTTGGAATCATCGAAGCCGGGCGGAAAGCATGAACACAACATTTCTTTATGGCTATATTAAATAATTGAATAAAATTGTTAAAATTATCATAATTTTGTAGTAGTCATTAAAGTTATGACTGCAACACTGAGCCTGTTTGAATGGTCTTTTATTTACAAAAAACTGCAAATCAGCTGTTCTTCAAACGCACAAACCAAACAACTAAACAACTTATCAAAAACAGGGGTAGAATGGTCATTTATCCAGAATCAGCAGTTTTCTAGATGCAGAAGCCAAACAACCAGACAACTTATCTGAATCAGCTGCTTATCAGCAGATTATCAAGATAAACAACTTATCTGGATAAGCTGGATAAGCTGCAGTTGCCCCAAACATACCCTAAAAATCACGTGGGTCAAGTGGGAGAATGTTAATTTTTTTTAATTGTGGACCATGTTGACCACAAACCCGCTAATGTGGGTTATTTATTTTAATGATAAATGACATTTAATAAATTAAATGATCTTAAATCTCATCCACCAGCAACCCCTGATAGATGGTGTTTACTAACATATGTCATTAAATTAATTAAATGATCTTAAATCTCATCCATCAGTAACCCCTAATGGATGATAGTTATTAACGTATGTCATTTAAGTAATTAAATGATCTTAAATCTTATTGGTCAGTAACTCCCTTGATGAATGATAGTAAAATAATGCATAATTCAGAGAATGGACTCTCTTCCTAACAGACACCGTATCTTTCTCTCCACCAAAAAGTACAAAAAGTTTCAGAGGATTAGAGAGAGAGACTCAATCTTCACAGACCTATTCTACAATCATGAATACAAGTATGCTTATCTCTTATGGATGAGTATGAAAAAATCACAAATTCAAAAATCTTGATCATTATATGCGTAAAGTATTTGGGTCATAAAATTGAATCACAAATGAAAAGTACTAACAGGTTGCTGATAGGGCGAACGAAAGGATGAGGTAAATTATGGTGATCTCTGCACGCCTAAGATCCTATCGTTGTTTTCTCCTCTAGATTTAATCGTGATGGTGTCGCAAGGGTTCAGTTACAAACACGATGGTTTTTGGGCGAAACTTTGAGAGAGAAAGAGAGCTCGACAAGGGATCAGAACAGAAGAAGGCGGGGGAGGGCGAACGGGATGAGGCGTGGATAGCTCCCTATCCTTCAGCCTCGAGTTATAGGGAGTGGATTCGGTGCAATAGAGTATTCAGGAAAGCGACAGGTGAGAGAGGGAAGGAGAAAATGAATGAACCACGGGAGAAAAGGAAAGAAGTCCAAATCGGTAAGGAATCGACAGAAGGGAAAGAAAAAAATTGTTTGACGGGAGGAAAATGAAAAGGAAAGAAAAAGTTTTCAATTCTTACACCTTGCCTGAGCTTGAGCTTGATTAATTAATAAAATTCGAGCTCGAGCCTAACTCTATGAGTTCAAGTTGGCTAACAAGTTAGCTTGATTATTATGAAAGAGAGAAAATTGAATGATAAAAATAATGTACAATTTATATATATATATAATTTTGAAATAATTTTAATAATTTATATTTAAATTCTTGAATTTTTATATATTTGAAATATAGTCTATATTAATATTTTTTTTTAAAATGAGTGGTATTTGCTCAGTTACATCTAGGTGTCAAAAAAGCTCGTTATTCACAAATAACTTTTGATCGGCCCTAAGTTGTTCGTTATTGAATCTTTTGTTAAAAAAATGAGCCAAACACGAAAAGAGTTTTTGAGCTCGATTTATAAACGAGTTAACATAAACAAGCTTTTGCTTGATTGTATTCGGCTCATTTGGGCTCAAATTATTTAAATAATAAATAAATAATATGTAAAACTTGAAATCATAGTATCTTTTATGACATACAAATTCACTTTGTATGAATATAAAAAAATAAAAATTAGGTGTTATATAGGTAAATACATAAGAATTGGGTGATAAGTATGTAAATTTTCTTAAAATTTTTCAAATCCCGTCCCGCCCAATTTCTGTATTTTCGTGTTAGATTTACTAAATACATCAAAATTGGGTGGTACGTATGTAAATTCTCCCACGTGTTTGATATGTAAATACATAAAAGGGTGGTACGTATGTAAATGTCCCTGCGCTAAATCCATGCCCCATCATTGAATTTAGCTGTTAGCTGTGTAAATATATAGAATTAGCTTGTATCCATATCAATGTCCCTAGAAAATACTTCCACCTCTTTCCTTCCATGTAGGGGTGCATAAAAGAGTGGAGCTAGCGAGCTCATACTCAACTCATTAAAAAAATATTATTGTTCGTGTTTGGCTCGTGTTCAAATCTGCTCATAAACACTGTTTATGTTCAGCTCGTTAATTTTTTTGTTGTTTGTGTTCAGCTCGTGTTTGGCTCGAATTAGGCTCGATAAAAATTTATCTTAAATATTAAAATTTTAAATATTGCATTAAAAAATCTTTGTTTAAAAAAGATTTTTAGGAGAAAGATATTATTATTCATTTAAACATTTGAGAGAAATAATATGTTTACAACATCAAATATGTAAATTGACAAATGAGCAAATATTTATAAAAATGTATTACATCATTAAAATTGGTAATTCTTATTTTTTGAAATAAGCAAAAAAAAAAAAATACAAATTTATAATCACACATCACAAATGAACAAATATTACATAAAAAATATATTGCTTCATCAAAAATAATGATAATTACAAAATTTTACACATTTAAAACATCAACAAAAAATTACAGCAGACCAATTTATAGCACATTTACATCTCAAACACAAAAAAAAAACACTCAATTTTTTCTCTTTTTGTGCAATTTATGGTTTGGTGATCTAAAATTGTTGAAGATCACATCTTGGTGAGAGGTAAGCAGGTCGAATTTTCTGCTGAAAGGATCAACGCTTTTCATGGGCTCACTAATGATATTGGTATATATGTAAATCTTCCAAATTGAAAATGCAAAAAGCTTGTAGATCCATAGGACTTTAGTGGTGCATTTGTAAATCTTCCAAACAAAAAAATTGTCAGATGCCTGTAAATATATAGTAATTTAGTGGAATGTATGTAAATCTTGCAAATAAAGAAAGCTAGAAAAGTAACACTTAAGCATATGTCACAAAGAGAAAAAAATAAATGATAAGGTCACAACTGAGAATAAGATATTGCATTTTCTCATAGAAATATAAATAATGTAAGCTAGAAGAATAATACTTAACACTTGCACCTCTTTAGAAGTAAGTGGGAATGATTCTACCATCCAATAATAAATAAAATACCTTGAAAACTTCAAGCCTTCCACCATCTAACATTAAACAAAAATGTTTAGAAGTCACTTGTATATTTTCAAATTCCAACAGCCAAATGACTTTAAAAACTTTCACCATCCAACAATAAGTATATCAATATAAAAAAGATTTCACTGTGTTTCACAAAAACTACTAACAAAAACAAGGGGAAGAGAGAAAATAAAAGTTCAAAACTTACCTGAATTAAATCATGATGTTTCCCTCCTAATGATGAAAAGAATATTTCCTAGCTTGGTTGAATCATCATGCATTTTTGGAATTCACATAGCTAAGAAAATACATATAAATCTAAAATTAAGCCTAACATATATTGATTTCAAACCAAATTTCATATGGTAAAGCAAAAGAGAAGCATAACCAGCACATGCCAATTCCACCCGACAAACTGCAATCAAACCAGCAAAAGATCCTTCTCTCAATGGCCAAAACGAACATATAAATCCAGAATTAAGCTTAACATCAATGGCTATTCTACCATGCCATTGATAAACAAATCTCCCACATCAATATATTATTCATACATCAAATAATGAGAAATTGAATTCTAAAAAGTGTCATGATCAAGCATCCAAAATTAAAGAAAATATTTCATGGTCACATCCTTGAGCCATCCATACGATCACTCTAGTAAATTTATAGCATGGTGTTCCTCTTCTATCATCGCTTCCTATTTATTTAGAGAAAAAATATATAGAAATATATAACGACTAAATTAAACAGAATTTTAAAAAATTAATAATAAAATATATAACCAAGGGCATCTTCAAACTAAGTTTAGAAGCTCTAATCCAACTAGATGCACATATAAATGCATTGACAGACAATGAAATGCTATAGTCATCAAGAACTCTCCCACCCGCACTAAAAGAAGACTCTAAGTCACAATTGTTATTAGAGTAAAATATCTTTAGACATTTGGGATAAATATGGATATTTGAGAGTGTTCAATTTCACCACTCAAGAATATCAAATTGATCATTATTAACCAAAAATAAATTCTCCTCAAGATATATCCGTAAATCTGATTTTAGTAGACCCCGATGAAACCACAAGATCCGTGAATTCAAGCATACAATCAAAATTTTGTGGAAAAGATAAGTCACTTTGAAAATTCAAAGATTTGCTAAAATTTGATGTACTAGAGCTTACAAAATTAATTGTATATTCATTATATATATTCAAAAAAATATATTCAACCTCTTGAATTTTTGAGTGGAGGTCAATGGATGAGTATATTTTTTGAAACATATAATAAAAAAAAAAACTTAAATCTTAGTTGAGGGACTAACACAACCTCCACAGACAAAAGAAGATTACACTCCCCCAATATTTATCAAAATTAATTTTTATTGTAAGGGACATTCCTTTAATATAATCATAGGAAGAAGAAGATCCTCCATTAACAACTTCAAATGCATAACAATTGGCAAGAAAATATTGGATGTTGGGTATGAAGAGCAAGAAATAACTTTTGTTACACTATAAGAAATGACAAGAAACTTTCTTATTTTTTCAGAATTCTATCAGTCTGTATCAGATGACAACCATTTGTAATTGTTAATCACATGTTGCATATTCACTAAAAACAATTCTATAAGAAAAAACAAATTCAAGCATTAAATAGATCGAGTTCAATCTTGTAGGCACATCAATAGATAATCTCTTAGTGGTTGAAATCCTTAATTATTTAGAGACCTCAACAAACTTGTGAAGTTTCTTTGGTGACTTATTTGGATATTTGATAGACCCTCATATTTGATGAATTATGCTTTGAACCTCTTTCAAGCTTGTTTGAATCATAATATTTAATATAGATGCACAACATCTAACGTGGAAGACAAAACCCTGTAAATGCAGCTTACTTCTCGACTGAAAATTAGCTCTACGAGAGCTAGCGACAACATCATTATTAGTGACATTATCAAAGGTTATGGGGGACGCCTTATCTTGGAGATTGTAATCAAGTAAACAAACAAATATAGCATCATAAATACAAGTACCACTATGAGATGATTCGAATTCAATAAAATGAATGATTTTTTTTATAATTTCTATGAATCATCAATATAATGAAGAGTTAGACACACAAAACCAACTGTTTGATTTGAAATTGAACAACCAGAAGTTAAAGAAACTCTATGTACATCCTTGAGAATTATTCGCAGCTTCTCTTTTTCAATATCACAGACTTTCGTACCATCATTTTTAATTGTATTTCTAGAAAGCACTCTCATAATTGAGGTTCAAAGATTTCAACAAGATGTTGAATCACAAATGCTCAACCATCATGAATGGGTATTCATGCACGATTATCATTATGACAATTATTTCTCTACTTCGAAGCTGATCATAGTTCATTGGGTCATGAATAATAGAAATCTTAATATCTACACTAGCATTATGATGCAACAAATTAAGGATTTTTCGTCTTTTATCTAATGAATCCACGTGCTTGTTCTTTGTTTTGATTTTTTCACAACCTTTGACATGCCTAAGTAATCATGAAGTAGTGTAAATCTTAAATTTATGAAATTTAATACGACATCATATGCATTGCTGAAAAGGGTTTGCAACTCCTTTGGTTGTGAATATTGTCTCAACAAAATACTCCCAAACTGAGGATTCCATCTTTCTTGTTTTCTTAGCAACAGCTTCAACATCATTTGTTTCAACAACTATTACATCCAAATCTCTTGAAACAACATTCAAATTTTCATTGCTAGCAGATGAAACAGTTTGAGAAAGATCTAAATTTGACATTGCAACACACTAAATAAAAAAATTAAATAAATCATTCCTTGCATTTTAAGATCCGCCCAACACTTAATACACCAATAAAACATCAAACATTCTTGCTTCTGATACAAAAAATTGAAAAAATTTAGAACACCGACCACAGTTCAGAGACTGAATCATGCAAAAGTGAAATTTATGATCCGCCTAACACTTAATACACCAATAAAACATCAAGTTTTCTTGCTTCTAGTACAAAAAATTGAAAAAATTTAGAACACCGACCACATTTTAAGATCCGCCTAACTATTACATCCAAATCTCTTGAAACAACATTCAAATTTTCATTGCTAGCAGATGAAATAGTTTGAGAAAGATCTAAATTTGACATTGCACCACACTAAATAAAAAAATTAAATAAATCATTCCTTGCATTTTAAGATCCGCCCAACACTTGATACACCAATAAAACATCAAATATTCTTGCACCTGGTACAAAAAATTGAAAAAATTTAGAACACCAACCACACTTCAGAGATTGAATCATGCAAAAGTGAAACTTATGTTTGTGGTAAAATATTGCATAAGCTTGAAACTCTCAACATCATGAGAGCAATAGTCCTTGGATCAAAATAGAAAGGATAGATTGTTCATAACTACTTTTGAAGTCCGAACATTATTGTACCACAAACCATAACACGACTGAAAGTTAGGGGACACTTGGTGTGCATTTATTCTTCCGGATAAGTGCAAACCAACATCTTTAACTATTCATAAATCAAATCCACATGCTAAACATAATAAGTTCAAAAAAGCAAAAAGATTGTATGTAGTTTTTTATTTATTTACATATCTAACACCTAAACTTTAATAGTTACATGCATAACGTTCAAATCCTTGACATAAGAATCGTATGTAAATGTAAATATGAAAGTTTAAGTGTTAGATCTGTAAACACATAATAATTGTCTGGCATGAATATATATTTCTCTTAATTAAAAGCAAGTCAAGAACGGCATTGAAACATGTATATATGAGCTCAATCATTATATCAAACATTGTTTGGTAGCACGATTCTTAAACCCCTCATATTGGGATGGAGTGATGATGGACAGAGTTCGATGCAATTAGGATAATAGATTCTATCTTAAATGACAATATAAACATGACAAATTCAAACCAAGTATTAAAGCTATTTTTTGATATAAGAAAAATGCTATTGATTGTCAAAGATCAATAATTGTATTCATTAATTTCCATCTAATATTACCTTATTAACCATATTTAACAGCAGTCAAAGAAAATTATCCATTGAATCACAGTAGCTAAATATATTTTTTTTATTTGCTACCATAAATAATCTCACGTATCTTTATAACTTCTAAATTCTCAGGTAACTTAGAGCTCTATAAATAAATATCTAAAATTTTCTTATTACACGAAGGAGAAGAAACCAAAATGGTAAATTTGCTTTCTCTTAACCATAATGAGAAGGTTTTTCAATATCTGCTACAAAGCCTTAGTGGTGAGTTCTCATAAACCTAAAAAGCAATCCAATATCAATGGCAACGTGCAGTGTTCTCACTTTATAAATCATGCCAAAAACTAAATTATTTAGAGCTACCCATACCTAGATAGGAATGAGCTAATGAATTCACCAGATAACTCACAAAGTCGATCAATCGGTATTTGAGCTTCAAAAGTTAAAAATCTTGAATCCAGAACAACGGTTAGAACAGATTAAAGACTAAAGAAGAGAGAAAGAAGGATAAAATCTAGATGAAGCAAGATTGAAGGACACAAAACCTAGTAAGCCTCCGATCTCAGCTCTTAATCGAAAGATATGAGTTAGGAGGAGACAAACACGAGAAACCCTGGAAAGATTTTGCTCTTTTATGATGTTCTACCGTCACGATGAATATGACACAATTGCACAACCACACACTCCACAATGAGAGACGATCAGACGAGAGCTCTCAGGAAGTCGAAATAAAGAGGAAAAAAATGAAGAGAGACAGTAGGTTTATGTATTTATTATTTTATTAAAATTTCAGATTTTAGATGAAATTATTTTGGTTGGGATTAAAATTATATATTTTTTTAGATTAAAAATTCAATTTAAAAGGATTTAATACATTTTAAATTTAAAGTTTTTTATTAAGTAGATCATATTATAATATTTAACTTTTAATTATTTATTTATTTCGAGGCTTAATATATCTAACATGATTCAATAAATATTTGCTCGTGTTCAGTTTGTTTATAAACTGAGCCCAAAATTTGTGTGAATGTTTGACTCGTTTATTTCACAAATGAATCAAACACGAACAAATTTTTAAGCTGAACAAGAGATGTTCGTTAATGAGGAGCCAACAGCTCTACGTCCACGCATTGCCTCTTCTAAGATTTGAGCCCATAGTCCCACATCTATAAATTTGATGTTAGAAGTTTAGAACGGCTCTTTAAAATGCAAAAGCAAAGATCATTCATCCCAAAAGTTAAGAGGTTTGTGAATTGAATTATTTCTTGCTATATTATTAATATTAATTGTAAGAAATAATTAAGTATTTAAGTTTATTATTATTAGCTTAAAATTTTTAGTTGTTTTAAGTTGATTACATTTTACATTCGAAGATCATAATTTAGTAAGAGTTCAAAGCCAACTCGGGTTGAGCTTAAAGTCTAACACAAACATGTTCACAAGCCATCTGAACTTGCTCAAATTCAACTCGTTTACCTCTAGTCATGTTAGTCCACCACCACTGATTTGTTTCGATCTAGTTTTTATGCCACATTAATATGAATGGCACTCTTCAAGAATGATTATTGAATAAAATATAATCACTTATTTGTTCGCTATTTGTATTATTATCCACAGATTATATTTGTATGTCTCTCTGTGGGAAAAAATATTTCGTTCGGTTGTCGGCACATCCAGAAGACTAACCATCGACAGCCATATCGTCCGTCGATGAGGTGCCTGGCGGCGTGGCGACCGGAGGTTGGCTGTCCAGAATATTTTCTCCTCTCTATGAGAGCAAAAAGTGCGTCATTCAAATAGTAATACAAATTATATTAAATTAATTCATATAAAAATAATTTAGATTTGTCTTTTTTATGTGTATTGTATGCATTATACTAATTATAGAAAACTTTAATTTTCCTACCTAGTTTTATTTCCACTGGTCAGTATTATTACTTTAATCACAAACTTCTGTTCTCCCACTATAAATAAATTAAATATATTTTTTAAACATTATATATTAAAAAAACTAAATTAATTTAGATTTGATTTTTGTTGTGGTTTTATATATGATTTTGCAAGTAGGGGTGTAAATGTGTTCATAATGTATATTTTATATATTTAATGTATTTTTTATATTTCGAGCTCAAAAAGTGTGTTTGTGTTCTGTTCGTTTGCTTAGCGAAATGCAAACCGTTCATGAACAAAGAATCTTTTTGACAACCCTAATCATGTAGTGATAAGATGTTAAGGATTGGGGCAAGATTTAAATTATCATTTGAATCTAAATTAATATTTTTTATTCTAGTTTCTTAATTAATTCTTATAATTGCTTATAAATCTTTGTAGCACTGTAGTATGTTATATTTTTTAAAAATACAACTCACCAAAAAAATATATATATAATTGATTAGTAGTATTTTGAGTCAAAATGAGTCGAACACGAACGAACAAATATTTATTTGTGATTTGTGTCGTTCGTATTCGGCTCGTTAACTTAGCGAACGAGTCGAACACGAGCTCTTCACAAACAACGAGCCGTTTTAACAGCCCTATTTGTAAGAGGGAAATAATTTGATTGGACAAAATTTACTCCTTTTTATGATAATATTAATATGGACGAAATTCTGTTAATCATTAAATAGATATTAGACAGTGACTTGATTTAACCTGAAGTTTTCTATTGGCTTTAATGACCCGGCGAGGTTATTATTGTAACGTTTTTAAATAAATAAAAATAAATCAAATATTATTGACCACAATATGATATCCACTCAGCTGAAAGTCCTTTTTATCTTCCATATGTTTTCAGTTTTCTCGACAAGAATAAATAATTAACAGAACCGATGAGCATCAGGGGCTTTTCTGTAAAAGAGACGAATGATGCGGGGGATTATGCAAATAAGCCCTGCTACTGCTCCCGCTTTATTAAAAAGTGAGGCTATATTCGCCAGTCTGTAAACCTTTTTCTCCTCCTACCCTCTTCTGGAAAAGAACGATCACAGGGGCAGAGAGAAGCTGAGGCTACAATGGCTATTGTATTTCTGCTTGTACAGGCTCTCGCCATGGTGGTGGATCGTGGAGCCTGCAATTTGACAGCATACCTTCTCTTCTTTTCTACGTTAGTGTGTCAATTCTGAGGAATTGCTGCTTTGCTTTGTGAGCTCTCGCACTTTCTCTACCAGCCACAGCGACGGCTTCTTGTGCGACAGGCTGGTCCCGATCGAAGGAGAAACAATGCTCTCATCAAAGTCCAAGTAAGATTATTCTTTTCTCCGGATCTGGTGATAATTCGTTATGGTTGCTCTTCGATTTCTTTGTTTGTTTAACGAAATGTGCTTTGATTTTTGTTTCTGTTGGTATGCTTTGCGTTTAATTTATGGCAGCGATGATGTTTAGGTTTGCGTTGATTCAAGAGATTTTTTTTTTTTTTTTTTTTTTTTTTTTTTGTCATTGATTTTGGTTTGGGTACTTGTTGCATTTGTTTGATCTCTTTACTGGATATTCCAAATGGGATAAAATGTGTTTTTTATTTTTAATTTTTTGGATTGATGCTGGGAGTGTCGTTTGATTTAAATCTGGGCATGTATGGAACCTGATACGTTGATATTGCGAAGATCTAGCATGTCAGATTCGTCCAGCAACAAAAGCATACCAGCAACCCCTAGGTCCATCAACAAAAGCACACCAGCAACCCCTAGGGTTAGCAAAAATGGGAGGCTGGGATCTGCCAAGGTGGATCCTAATTCGCCTTCTCCGCAGCAAAAACTGCGTACTTCAGTCGAACGGTCGCCGGGATCGGTTAATTCGAAGTCTACCGCTGATCACCGCTTGCCCCGGATCAGCACCCCTCCTGATGTAAGCAAAGCCCCAACTTTTGCAGAGGTTTTGTTGATCCATGTTACTGTGCTCAGGTAATTTCTAATTCACAGAAGCAACCACGGACATTGAAGGAATCGGAGCTCCAGACACAGCTTACTCTTGCACAGGAAGATCTCAAGATGGTGAAGGAAAAATTGGCTTTTGAGGAGAAGGAGAAAGCTCGAGCTCTTGAAGAACTGATAGAAACCAAAAAGGCGGTTGAGGAGGCAAATGAGAAGCTTGAGGATGCTCTCCTTTCTCAGAAGCTTGCGGAAGAGAGTTCTGAGCTTGACAAATTCCGTGCTGATGAAGTGGAGCAATCGGCCATTGAAGCTGCTCAGAAGAGGGAAGAAGAATGGCAGGAAGAGTTTGGGCATGTCAGAAGCCAACATGCTGTTGATGTTGCAGCGCTGGTTTCTGCAACACAGGAACTTCAGATGGTGAAGCAAGAACTGTTGATGACCACTGAGGCAAAGAACTCTGCATTAGGTCATGCTGAAGATGCCATGAAGATTGCTGAGGTCCATGTAGGGAAGGTGGAAGCGCTCTCTGCAGAAATCAGCCGTCTCAACTCCTTGCTCGACTCCATGTTTGAAAGCCATTCAAAGGAGACGGCAGAGATTATCAATAAGTTTGATTATGAGGCTGAAGTTTTGAAACATGAACTTGGAAAGGCAAAAGCTGCTGAGGAGAAGTTGGTTGATGCTGAAGCATTAGTTGAAGTGCTCAAGGTTCAGTTATTTGATGCAAAGATGTCTGAATCGAATGCACTTAGTCTCGTGGATGAGCAGAAGAAGAAGGTAGAGCTTTTACAATTTCAGCTGGAGGAAGCCAATCGGTCTGAAAGTGAGCTGAAGCATTATCTTGCTTCAGTCATAAAGCAGCTAGAGGAAACGGAGGTTGTGTGTAATGATGCCAAATCTGAAATGAACTCTCTCAATGCCAAGGTTGAGGCTTTGGAGCTTGAGTTAGCCACGTATAAGGAAGATCTCAAAGAATCTGATCAAAAACTTGAATTGGCAATGCAGGAAGTCTTGGATTTTGAGAAGAAAGCTGAAGTTTTAAAGTTTGAAATCCAAAAGGTGGAGGAGGAGAAGGAACACGCCTTGAACAATGAAAAAATTGCATGTTTGAATGTGGAAAACCTTACCCAGGAAAATACCAAGCTTGCAGTTGAGCTGGAGATCACTAAAGAGGAATCAGGAAAAGCTAAGAAAGCTATGGAAAGCTTGGCTTCTGCATTGCATGAATTCTCTATTGAAACCAAGGACGCTCAAGAAAGGCTTTTGATTAAACAAGGCCAGCTTGATATTGCCTCTGCTGAGGCAGAGCAATTAAAAACAGCCCTAAAAAATGAACAGGAAAAATATGAGCATATTCTTGATGAAGCGAAATATGAGATTATTTGTCTCAAAAAGATGGTTGAGAAATCTGAAGCAGAAGCAAAGGAATTGAGACTTGAATGGGATCTGAAGGAGCATAGTCTAATTTCTGTCATTCAAAAATCAGAGAAAGAAATTGCTTCAATTAAACTACAGAAAGACAATGCGGTAGAGTCACTAGAGAAACAGAAGGATGAAGCAAAATTAGCAGAGAAAGAGGCGAGTAAGCTTGTGGATCAAATGAGGCTAGTTGAAGCAGAATTAATTTCAACTAAAAATTCCATGGAAGAAATGATGGCTGAGACTTCGAACTTGAAAGAAAGGTTGCTTGATAAAGAGAATGAACTTCAGAACATAACTCAGGAGAATGATGAACTCCGCATCCGTGATGCTGCTGCTTCAGAAAAAATTAAAGAGCTTTCTGAAAGGCTTACTGAGTTAACAACCAGTAATAGTCACGAAAATGAAGAACATGGAGAAAACAGGGAACTTTTAGAATTTGATTTACCGCCAATGTCCGCAGAAGCCATGCCAGAGAAAATTTCTGAATCCAAGACAGAAGAATCAAGAGCTCCTTTTAACAAGGAGGAAATGCTCAAAAAGGATACCACTGTAGTGGAGATTGATAATGCCAATGGTAAAACTGATGAAAATCATAATGGCCATGGAAATGTTGAGGAAGAGGTGCCTGTAAGGATGGAGGTCAAGCTTTGTGAAGGAGATAACAGCAGTGATAAGCAACTTTCTTCTGTGAGGGAGGACAATACTGAATCAGTAGATGATGACATTGATCCAAAGATTGTAATCAACAACCACCTTGATCATGTCAATGGAGAGAAAACAAAGACTGGTGATAATGCTTCGCCAGACAAGCAGCGACAACAACAACAAAAGAAAAAGAAGGCCTTGCTACTGAAACTTGGTAGCATTCTAAAGAAAAAAAGCAATCCCAAGTAGCAGGCCGGCATCGCCATGGTTCCAGCTTGCGAAGTATAAAATTTGCAAAGATGGTAGTGTCGCATGTAGAGATATATATATGTGTCGCATGTAGAGATTCGCATGTAGAGATATATATATATATATATATATGAAGCTTGTTTGTTCTTCCTTCCAAGGTAAGTTTGATATGAGATATTGTCTTTTTTTTAATCTGCAACTTCAGTCACTCCAATTTGATTAAAATACATGCTCAATCATTTGATTATAACTACACAATTTTCTTGAGTAATGTGTAGGGGAAAATAGTGCTGCATTGCTAAGCTGATGAAGAAAGCTACCAAGCAGCAGTACATTGTTTCTTCTCCATGCTTGTTCTCATTTTTGTGAGCTGTGACTGAAAGAGCATTGCTAGTCTGTTGGATTTGTATTTTTCCTTAATTTTATATTGTCTCACCGTGAAAAGTTTGCGTTTTTTGTTGAAATTTTGTGCATATATATGTCTGTGACTGGTTAATCTGATTCTTATAAAAATTCAATTTTTGTTTGAATTTGGTCCTCTTTTTAAACATTATAGATAATATCCCTTTCTACTTATTAGTTTGATGATTATTCATACATCACCATGGATCTCGACACTACAAAAGAACTGTCTATTTGCGATTGCCGGTTATAAATCATTATAAGAAGGGACTAGTCTTGCAATCCCACATACCATGTAGAACTCGCGGAGTAAACTAAGCCAGCTCCTCCATTTTCTCCCCTCAAATCCCGGAATAAACTAATCAATTTAATCGATGGATTGTCATCAGCTTGATCGTGGCATGCAACAATCAAACCTAAATTACAAGTGAAAGAAAGACTATGACAACAGAAGGGTTTATTTGGAGTAAATCAGGTCGAGAGAGTTCCAGGGGTTAGATTTTACATGTGTTAGTTAGATTAGTTTAAAATCAACACAAGAGTTCATTTAGTTAAATAATATTATGCTTTGATCAATGTAGTTTCTTTCTCGCTCTCGCAAGCTTAGGATTTTTTTCTCTCTCTCGCACAACCTAGCTACCTCTCACTGATAAATTCAATGCGAGAAAAAAGTTAATATTTTTAGGTTATCAATTAGGACTGCAAGGGTTCACCACATTTATTTTTAACCTACGGTCTATTCATTGTGGTGTTGTACTCATGATGTGTTTGTCTTCCACCTCTTGATTTTGTATAGAACTCCAGTGCTATTAATCTGTATTCACACAATCGAAAGATCGTTATTCGTGAGAACAAAATACATAGTGCAATGGAAAAAAAAAACAAAACAAATCATTGATAACAACTAGAAAATACAACATATGCTACATTCAATCTCTGAAAAGGGGTATTAACTCGTGTTTAAGAAGAAAATAACACAATAAATTTTGCTTGAATATGTTTGCAATAATATGGTAACATGAGAGAGTAATATAGAAGCTCAAGTAGATGGTCATGAATTCTCTTGGTCGATTATTCTCTTCTGAAATCTGCTGTTGAAGTTTTCCTCGAGATTCTCTGCAATTTTTTTTAAGGAAAAGTCTAATGAAAGCTCCTCTAAACTCTATTTAGAGTTGCCAAAAGCCAAAAAGTCTCCTAATTCATTTTAAATCATCCCTTAAATAAGGTGGCTGCAATTTGCTCCATGAATCACAATGAATCAGCAGAAATTTGCTCAAAATAGTGCAAGGTTATTTTGTGGCGCATAGGGGTCCAGCTCTTGGTTTGAATTGTAGAATCAGGAGCCCAATTGCCTGGCATTGGCGTCTTGGCTCCTATTTTTGGTGCCCAGGGGCCCCGTCGACACAAGATTCATGTAAATGCACATACCATTCAAGTAATATAGTGTTTTTAGTTCAAGATTGATCGCATGATAATTGAAGTAAATTCATGGTGAAAATTTTAAATATCGCTCTCATAAACACTAATTATATTCAATGATTGAAGATTATTTAAAGTTTTATGAAAATTTTTAAACAGAAATATCCAAATGTATACAATTCTTTGGAGTTGCAAATTGTTAATTAAAACTTCACTAATAATGAATTTTAAATTTGATTGTTTTGGTCTGAGAGCCAAGTTAGCTCCTAGTATCTTTAAATAAGAAGAAATCTTAATTATAACAGCCCAAAGCACTATATTTTTATGCACTATGAACCAGAAGAATCAAATTCAACCCTCCCATTTTAATTGCTAAAATTTAGTGGATTTGTCCATTCTATCAAACCCAAATCACTTTACTCATTTTGCTCATCTGGACTTTGTTGATATCTCAAAATGACATTATTTTAAACAAGCAAACAATTCTTTGCAAAATTCAAACCCTAAAATTCACAATTATATGAAATTTAATTAATACTCTACAAATTTTTAAGATGTAAGACAGCCTATCATGTTTTTAAATAAAATACGCCGAAATATTTTCATTTCAAATCAACAATCGCAAGAGTTGCAAATTTAAGGTACAAGAAATGGAATAGTAATAGTTGTACTAGAATTCCTTGATTGCAGTATCTTATTTGGTCTAGTAATCCTCATTCTTGTTCTTCTCTTCCTTGTGATCTCACGCTCTTCTCCAAGACCAAGTATCACTCTCACCCACACACACTACAACATGTTGCCCAAATACACTCTCACACTCCCTTCTAATGTCTATCAACACCTTTTCATCGTTTATAACTTCTCTTTTCTCTCTTATCAATTCGATTTGAAGTCAAATAATTATTCAATCGGGCCGTCGCATTGGGGCGCTCAAAAGGCAGCATTGCAGTGCTGAGCTCTGTGTCTTGATTCCAAGTGCACTCTGGTCTGGTGTTGCGACGCCTTGCTCTCAGGAAATATGTTGGGAAAACTCCCAATATAGAACTATGACATTGTAATGCTCTCAGGAAATATGTTGTGAAGTTAAAGTGATATTTGTACAGAAAAAAAATTACAATTATGACACTTAGCAAATTTTTGGTTATTTTTCTCGCTCAACACCTGAGCATCTGTGTATAGCACTAGGGTGTTGAGCTATATGTATGGTCTTTCAGGTTGGTGTCTAATTGCTTGGGTGCGGTGCCTAAGCACTGAATTGGTGCCTAGGTGTCTGATTCTCAGTCTAGTTCTGTTGATGGATGCCTCGACACCTTGGCTGCGAGATAAAGCACCCGACTTGGTGCCTTATTGTCTGAAGTTAGCGCCTATTAATTTGAGATTTAAATCATTAGCGTGAAAAAAAAATTATCACATAACGTGCAAATAAGGTCAAATTAATGAATCTAACACGAATCAATTATGTGTGCATTTCACGGTCATCAACTTGCCCAAATTTAGAAATCACTCACTCAATTTAGACATACAAAGCTCAGAAGAGTTCACCCAACTAAAAGGCTGTTAGCGCTGGCGTGGAGTCTGGTCCACCCAACCCGCGAACTTCCGCTCCCACCTCTCCTTCTGTTTTCGAGAAACGACGCTTCCGATCGTGAAGGGTCACACCTCTTCACAAATAACCACTCCCTCCTTTTTTTTTGCGAAGAGAAACATCCCTTCGCCAGAAACAGCTCCCACCTCCTCTATTTCGGGAAGCAAAGCATCACTTCGTTTCCTTCTCTTCGTGATAAAAGGAGAGGCTCTCATTCATATATGCAAGTCACAAGAAGTCACAATTTTCTTCTTTAGATTTCCTCGGGATAGAGGAAGAGTTCTTCGGGTTTCCACGGGACAATGGAAGAGAAGAAGTGCAAGGAGTAGTTTCTTGCGGCAGAAGGAAGAAGAAGATTGTTCTCCCTAGGCTTCTTCTTGGTGGCTTGTGGCAGAAGAGAAATTGAGTTTATTTCTCTTGTAAGTTTGTCTTCTTCGGTGTATCTCGGTGTATCTCGGTGTAGAGAGAGAAGAACAGAGAAATAAGAAGAGAGAGAGCAACGAAGAGTGAGAGATTTCTCTTGTAAGTCGAGGTGATCGACTGATGTAAATTTCCTCAAGTAGTAAAATCTTCTGCAACTCCATGGACATAGGCAATTTGCCGAACCACGTAAATCTGTGTGTTCTTTTCTGATGTTATTTTTCTTGTTCTATTTTTCGCTTTGTCGATCGTTCTCCTGTTTGATTTATATATATACCACATCAACTGCTCTGGTATATATTTCATAACAACTGATATCAGAGCTTTGTTTAGATCTGAGGAAGAATGATGGTTGCAGATGAAGTAAAGGTTTCAGGGATCGAGAAATTTGATGGCACAGATTTTGGTTATTGGAGAATGCAGATAGAGGATTATCTTTATGGGAAAAAACTTCATCTTCCGTTAACGGGGAAAAAACCTGAAAGGATGGATGAGGCTGAATGGAATTTGTTTGATCGACAAGTTTTGGGGGTTATTCGATTGACTCTATCGAGGTATGTTGCACACATCGTCGTCAAGAAAAGGACGACTGCAGATCTCATGACAGCCTTATCAGGTATGTATGAAAAGTCATCGACGAATAATAAGGTGCACTTGATGAAGAAGTTATTCAATTTGAAGATGGTGGAAGGTGTTTCTGTTGCTCAACACCTGAATATTTTCAATACTATCACAAATTAATTGTCGTCTGTAAAAATTGATTTTGATGATGAGATATGTGCACTGATCTTGTTGACTTCATTGACAGACAGTTGGGAAGCCATGAGGATAGCAGTTAGCAGTTCTGCAGGTAAATCTAAACTGAAATATGATGATATTCGTGATTTGATTTTGGCTGAGGAAGTTCGCAGGAAAGATTCTGTCGAGGTCTCAGGTTTGAGTTCGGCACTGAATGTTGATTTCAGAGGGATATGACATGACAGGAACTCAAAGATAGAGAGATCAAAATCAAAGTTTAGTAAGCAGACAACCTGTTGGAATTGTGACAAGGCTGACCACATAAAGAAGAACTACAGGAATCCTAAGAAGATGGAAAATGATAGCGCAAATGTGGTATCTGAAGAATCACAGGATGCACTTTTGTTGGCAATTCATAGTTCTGTTAAAGACTTGATATTGGATTCAGGGGCTTTAAATGTGGTAGAAAATCTACCAGAGGCCACAGTACATGACAGTGATGGAAGTGAAG